ACCCTTGGTATCCAGATGTGTGGCATTGTGATTTCTACAGACTGCATTCACTGAGTAGGTTTCTGAGATTTCCTAGGGTGTCTTAGACCTTGCTGGGCTGCTACTAATGGGAGGCCATTCCCTGTAGTGAAGGGCTGAGTTCTAGGTTACAGGGCCCAGATCCAGGATGGCAAGGGAGGTATAACCCTCCAAGTACACTTAGAGGTCCCCCTTGGCCTTCAGAGTGGTGGTGGTGGGCTTGTTCCCCTGCCCTATCCTCAGGTCCTCTCAGGGTACTCACCATTCCTATCGATAGCAAAAGGCACATCAGTCGTGATGATTTCATAGTTGCAAATCTGGCTGTACTGGGGGGAGCAGTCCTCATCAACAGCCTCCACCTGCAGGATGCTGTCATAGATCTTGCCCTCTGTGACAACGGCCTTGTAGGCTGGCTCTTTGAAGGTAGGAGCAAACTCATTGACATCCTTCACCTGGATATGGACCACGGCCCTGGGACCACACACAGGAAGAAGGAGATGGCATAAAGAAAGAGTCACACCACCCTCCCACACTGCCCAAGGCACTGACTCAGGCCTCAGGCCAAGTGAGTAGAGAAACCACTAGCCAGTCACAGAGGTTGTGATCTGAGTCTTCTGTCCTTCCTCCCACTGGAGATCCCTTTGTCCTCCCCTTGCTCCTTTGAGATGAAACCACCCCAGGAAGACTCTCCCCATTCCTTGTCCTTCCCTGTTACTCAGCTTTAGAAAACACATTTCATCATGGTCTTCTCCTGTTTCCCTTATTCATTCACTTCTCCATTCAGTAAGAATTTAATCGCTTTTAATCAACCCTATAGGACAGAGTAGAAATGCCACATAAGGTTTCCAAGAAGCAGTTGGTGGATTTGAACTGTCGACCTTTTGGTTAGCAGCTGAGCTTAAGGGTGTCTCTGAACCACAGTGCCACCAGGGCTCCTTAATCTGTGTTAGACTCTGAACCAAACTCCATGAGGGAGAGAACAGTAATGACCCCAAATGAAAAGTGGTGTGACAGAGAGAAGCACACTGCACTAAAAGGTTGGAGGTTTGAGTCCACCAAGAGATGCCTCAAAAGAAAGTCCTAGTGATCTGCTTCTGAAAATCAGCCATTGAAAACCCTGTGGAGCACAGTTCTACTCTGACACACATGGGCTTGCCATATGTCAGATCAACTTGACGGCAACTGGTTGGTTCGAGTGAAGAAGAGGGGGTAGAGCATCCAGGTGTAGAAAACAGTCCGGACATATGTCTGCACGTACTTAGAGCACCATAGCATGGCCAAAAGACAAACATCTCTGAAAAGCTACATGTGAATGAAGGCAGGGTGAGCAAAGGGGTGGAGGGAGGCCCTGGGAGCTGAGTCAGGCCACTCACTTATGCGACTTCTTCCAGGCTGTCTCCCGGGGCCCGGCACCGCAGTCGTAGGCCTGGATGATGAATGTGTACTCCTTCTGGAGCTCACAGTCAATGGGGCTCTTGGCAC